CCCCGTCTCAGCGAGGTGGCCCCCAGGCCCGCCCCGTCCCGGGCCTGTGCACAGCCCGTCTCCCGGCCACGGTGTGCCCGCTGCCCTGGCCCTGCCCAGGCGGGGCCCCGGGGGCAGCGGCCGCGCGGCGCGAGGCTCACCGACAGGAAGGCGTGGACGACGTCGGCTTTGATGGAGCTCAGCGGCTTGTCCTTGATGACCGCGAAGACCTGTTCCTCCTTCTCCAGGCTGATGAAGTTCCCAAACCAGGACCTTTTGGCGAGCCTGGGGGCGGGCGGAGGGCTGGGCAGGTCAGGGCACGCCAGCCGAGCCCCGAGCCCGCCCTCTGGGCTGCGGGCCAGCTTGCTGTCCCAGCCAGACCCCGCCCTGACCCCGACTCCCCGCCCTGACCCGCCATCCTGACCCTGACCACCCTCCGCCTTGCCCTGCCCCTCACCCGACAGCCCTGATGCTAATCGCAGAGCCCTCGGCCCCGCACCTCACCCCAACCACCCCTGCCTGCTCGGGCCTGGGCTGCGCCCACCGGAACCCCACCAGGAAAGAAAGGAGGGTGGCGGTAGGGTGCCCTGCCCTTGAGCCCACCCTGACCCCCACCCTTGCTCCTCTCTGTTGAAGCCACCATGTTTCGGGGTAACTCGCCAAGCCGCAATCCTGCAGCTTCCTGGAGAAAAGTGCCCCGCCTGGGGCTACGTGGGGTGCAGGAGTTGGGGGCGGGGGCAGGCCAGGGACCCCTGCAGAGGTATGTATAGGAGAGACAGGGGTGTCATGGTGCAGAGGACCCGGGCTGGGGGCCCCGGGTGCTACCTGCCCCTCCCCCTGGCGGACCACCCTCTGTCCTTGGGGACCGGTAGCCACCTGGCCACCTGCAGCCCCGCTGCCCCAGCCCAGGTCACTCTGGAACACAGTGGTCGCTTCGACCCCTGGGGGCCCAGCCGCTGTACGGGGCAGGGCAGGGGCCACCCCAGGGGCCGGCAGTGCCCTCCTGCACGAGACTCCTCATCTCACGGGCATCACGTGTACGCCTCCCTGCCCTCTACGCCATCATCCTCCGGTCTCGCCTCACTCTGCCCAGCTTCTGGGGCCCTCCGTCTCTGCGGCGGGGCCCTGCCCTACGACGCACACCAGCGTGGGGGAGACCCCTTGCCGGCCCCACCATCCTGCCTCCGGGGTTCAGCCTGTGCGGGCCCCTCCCTCGTGTGGACGAGGCCCGGGACTTGCTCCTGACCAGGAGGACGGGGAGGCGGGGAAGGTGACGGGGGTCGCGTGCGAGCTCAGTCTCTAAAAGGCTGGACTTCCGTCTGGCAAGCGGGTCTCCACCTCTTTTTGACGAAGCCGACGGATGCGGCGGGGACAGACGGATGTGACAGCAAGGCCCACGTGGCCAGGAACCTGAATCCTGCCCGTGACCCCACGAGCTCGGCGGAGGGTCCTGCCCCTGCTGGGCCTTGAGATGAGCACCGCTGGCCAACACCCTGAAGCAGGGCCCAGCCGGGCCATGCACAGGGCCTGACCCCAAGCCACGTGCCATTGGGAGCGACCGCTGTCGCTCTCACCCAGGCAGCTGTAGTGCGGACACAGCCAGGGCCCCGCTGGCAGACGCGCCCAACTCAGGCTGGGCCGGGGCCAGGGCCGGCCCGCTCGGGCCCGGTGTCTTGCTCCGGCGGCGCTGGCAGCATGAGCCGCGGGGTCTGAGGCGCGGCTGCTGTTTCCTGCTGTGCACCTTCCCTTTTCCTGCCCGTTTCCAGAGCCGGCTCTCCAGCCCGTGGCAATGTGGCGGCAGCAGGCAGCTTGCCGACAGAGGCCGTCCACTCCTGCGGCTGGAGCCGGCCCCAGAGACCTGCCGGAGGCAGAGCTGCGGGGACACATATCCTTCCCGACGCCACGCCGTACTTGGCCACCTTCGCTTCCTTCCCCACATCCTGCCGTCTCTGTGGCCGCTGGCGTGCTCAGAGCTCTGGGGTGCAGGCCGCCCGCGCTGCTCACCCCAGCACCGCACTGGGGCCTGAGCCCAGGACGTGGGCCGGGAGGCGGCTTTGAAGCCCGCGGCAGGCGCTTCTGCCCCTCCTCCCTCGACGAAGAGACAGAGCAACAGGAAAGCTCCGCGTTGTACTTTGGTGTCTGGTTTGCAAGCAGCCTGGATGAGCCGGGAAGGCCTGTGACAGTTAATTAAACCTGGGCGTCAACTGGGCCTGTTTGGTAAAGGTTGGGTGTGCTTCTTGAGAGTGACTTTGAGACGTGGTGACGAGCACACTCTGGACGTGGCGGGCCTTGTCCGCTCCGCGGGAGGTCCTGAGAGCAAAGGCTGAGGCTCCTGGAGGGGAAGGGATTCTCAGCACTGAGACGGAGAAGCCGCCCTGCTTCCCGCCTGCGAAGCCTACAGTCCCCAGACTCGCCAGCCCCACGGTCGCACGGGCCGGTTCTGGAACACGCGGACGCACACGCTCTGCTGACACGAGGCTGCTGGCCGCTGGTGGAGGGGACGTCTCAGGGCGGGCGAACACGTCCTTGGGAGGAGTGGGTGCTGGGGGTGCAGCGGGGCCACCCGTCTGCTCCTTCCCGTCAGCCACATGCACCGGGTGGCGACGCTGGCCGGGGCCCTCAGGAGGGGGACGAGGCCTCCAGGACTCGAGAATGGGCAGGGGAGGCTGCAGGCCACCTGCACGCTGGTGTCAGCTGCTCTGGGCGGCTTTTTTTTTTTGAGTTTTCCGATAAACCTAACAATTCTGTTACAAACATGGTCGCGAGAGCTTCTGATGACAACAGGAAACCGTGACCGAAGGGAGACAAACGGTGGGATCACGGAGATCCCGAAACCCCACACTTCAGGCTGGCTGCCCTCCAGCCCCAACCCCGCCCGCTCCCGCTGTGTCCACAGGCCCCATGCCGGGTCACGGTGACAGGGTAACGGCAGCTTCTCCTGCCGGGCCGAAGGCTGCCGGTGAGGTCACGACAGGGCCCCGCCCCCGTGTCCACTCCGCACCTTCACGTTCACACGAGGCGGTGGGAGCGAAGGCTGGCGCCTCTCTGGGGTCTTCGCCCCAGACACACGGGACTCCCGTCCAGACATCTGGCTGGGCTGCAGCACTGCCCCCCTGTCGCCTCAGGGCCCTGCTTCCTGCCCTTGCAGGACGGTGAGCCGGGGGCTCGATGTGTCCTGACCTTGGCCAAGGCCACCCTGCCCTGGACACGGCTCCCGCCGGCCTGCCCTCCTCACCTCCTCCCTGAGACCCTCCATCCCTACGAGCCGCCAGGTGTCCGGCCACACTCCGGGCTGGGCTCACCCTGGGAAGCCCCAGTCAGCACTGCCCAGCGCCCCTCCCTGGTGGAGGCCCTCCTGCAGGCACCGCACCCCTGGTCACCAAGGGCTGGGGGCCGACACGCTTCCCCCATGTGGAGGCCGGGGCTCTCAGGAGGTGTGGACAGTCACCCTGAGGCATGGCTGTGCTCTCCCCTGCCACCCCCAGTCCCAGGCACCCCCAGGCTGTCTGTGGCTTCTGAGCACATCTGGGAAGAGCAGCTCCCTCACCGCCCAGGCCCTGCCCCGCTGGCCTGGCATTCGAGGTGGAGACACAGAGACCCCAGCGCTGAGGGGCCCCAAAGCCCTCAGTGGATCCCCCGGCCTGACACATGGGAGGGTCCGTCGCAGACCCCCACGCACTAAGAAGGCGGCGACAGGTCACACTTGACCTCGGGCAGGGCCACTTACTCTGGGGACGACTCCGGGGTCAGGTTGGACATCTCCTCGGGCGTCGGAACTGCACACGGGAAGGACGGGGAGAGTGTGGTGACCGCTCCACCCTTCCCCCACCAGGGCGCCAGCGCAGCGGCTGGGGTCTCGGGAGCCGCGGCACTGTCTCCAGCGCCCGCGGGCACAGGTCAGCTCCCGGCTCCTGCCCGCCGCCACGGCCACAGGAGCCTCGGGCCACAGGGAGCTGTCCTGCCTTCTGGTGCTGAAACCGGGCCTCACCGTCTCTGGCCTCCAACCAGCCCTGCTGTCCCGGGATACATGGCACCGCCCGTCGACCGCACTGGGTGGCTGGTGGGGCCTGGTGGCCTGGAGGTACCCGTTGACCCTCGGCACCCAGCACACAGGGGCAGGCTGCCTACCACTGCCCCAGCCCCGTGGGCTTCCTCACCACACCCACCCATGCCCGCCCACTGGCCCGCTCGCCTCTGGGGCTCAGGCAGCCCGGCCTGAGCAGGCCACTGGGCCAAAGGGGAACAATGGAGCCAGGAGGAGTCCCAAGCCCGCGCCCGCCGGGCAAGCAACCCTGCACTGTGGGGTCCTTGACACACAGTGGGCAGGCTTGGGGACACATGGACACTGGGGGTACCTCTCGCCAGCGCTTTCGGGAGGATAAACCACCAAGGGGGAGGGGAAGACCCTCTGAAGCCGGCCGCTGCCTGCCCCGCTTGCCAGGATGGGCAGTGCTCCCCTGGCCCCCCGCCACCAGCCCCCCCGAGCCCCGCACACCCCACGTGTCCCGCCACACTCACCCTGCAGTTTCCGGCGGTGGAAGCGGGGTGACCCCAGGAAGCTGTTCTTGATGGAGTTGAGCCGTGTCCTCCAGGGCACCCCTCCCACGCTGGGGCTGGACGGTGGCGTGGGGTTGGGCGTGCCGGCCGGGCTCTCCTTGGGCGTGTGCACAGGCGTCCCCTTGGGGGTAGGGAGGGGACTGCCCCTCGGAGAGGGGTGAGGGGTCACCTGTATGGTGGGGACAGATTTGGTGTTGGCTTCAGTCCCAGTGGGTGGGAGCCGGGCAGGGGCCGGCAGGGTGGGTGAGCCCGGGGTCAGGGCCAGCTGGGGGCTGAGGCCTCCCGCAACAAGGGGCCGGGCCTGGGCGCCCGCCGGGAGCGGGTGGGACTTGGTGCCCTGCAGCGGCTTGTCCGTCAGCTTGGCCTTGCTCGGCAAGGTCTGGGTCTTGGGGTTGGGCCGCGGGGCAGCCTGTGGAGGGAGGACGTGTCCGGGCCGCGAGGCGCTCCGGCCAGCTTCAGGCTCCACGGAGGTGGCCGGGGGGCAGGCCACAAAGGGGAGCTCGGGGGGCGGGGGAGGCAAGACAAACTTTCTAACAGGCTACAGGGCAGCGCCGAGGGCAGGAGGGAGAGCGCACGGGCCCCCGAGAGCCAAGCGGCCCCAGCGCGTGCCCCGCCCGCCCCGCATGCACACACAGCACCCGGGGACCCCAAGGCAGGACCAGCGGGGGCAGGCAGGCATGGGGGTGGGAGCGTTCGCCACAAAAGAAAAGAACACACGAGAAAACAAACAAAACAAAACAAAAAACGTGCAGTTAGCGAAGGCAGCCGGAGCCCACAGAGCAGCAGCTGCCACCACGCGGGCGGCCCCAGCAGCAGGCGGGGCTGGGGGGGGGCCCACCGAGCCGCCCCCCACCCGGGTGCACGCTGGCAACGGAGCTGGGGAGGGTTCACTTACCCGGGGGCTGCTGAGTGGGCTGGTGGAGAGGCCTGAGGAAGCGCCGCTGATGGACCTAGACCTGGGGACACAGGTGCAGAGGGCGGCTCAGACCAGGAAGGGGCCTCGGGGCCTCCGGCTCTCGGCTTCTCTCTCCCCTCAGGTGGACCCTCCAGGAGGCCTGGAGCCCTGGTTGAGAGCCCCGAGGCTGCCCCAGTCTGCGGCACACCTGGCCGTGCCTGGGGCTGTCCTGCTGTCCCCACCCTGCCTCTCACCAGGCCCAGAAGAGCCCACCGCCCCTTGGGGGCCCCATCAGAGCCCCAGTGGTGCAGCTGGAGACCGTGGGACTCCTCTCCCGCCACACAGAAGGTGCCCTGTGTCCAAGGCCCGAGGCCCCAGGTCCAGGATGGCACGGAGGAGCCCTCGGCAAGGATCTCTCGGGGCCCGGGGTGAGAGGACACAGGGCTTCCCGTGAGCCGACGCCAGCTCCGGGGCCCTGAGGCAGCCCAGCTGAACCCCGAGGCTGAGCTGTCACAGGCCCCAAGTCCTGCACTCCGCCCGGCGCCTCACACCCTGCCGTGTGGGCCACCAGCTGGCACCAGCCCAGCCCCTCCACGCCCACGGCCCTCCCCTTGCTCACACCACAAGCACCTGGGACGGGCGTCAGCAGGGACGCAGACTCGGTCCACCCCGGCCCCATCTGGCCAGAGAGAGGCCACTGGCCCAGCGTGCCCAGCGGAGACACGCATGTAGCCGCCGCCCCCTCAGGGCAGGAACTGGACACCTCTCGGGGCAGGGCCAGGCCTGCGGGGCCTCGCTCCACCACCCCGCGTGGCCTCGAGGGAAAGGAAGCGCCCGCTCACCCCTGGGCGCCGGCACCTGCCACCCTTAGAGCAAGGAAACCGGAGGGGTCGAGGCAGCCACGGGAGAGAAGAGGACAGAAGAGAGTGAAGGGCGTCCACACTGCCCACCCGCCAGCCCGGCCACACTGCCCACACCGCAGCTGGCCCCTGGGCCTCGGGCCGGAGCTGAGCCCACGCTGGCCGGTCCCCCAGCACCTGTGGGCTGGGGCCCCATGGCGATGACCCTCTGACTCCCACCCCGCGAGCTGACACAGCCCGGAGCCGGGGGGCAGCGCTGACCCTCCTCTCAGCACCCCCGACCCAGCCTGCCCGAGTCCAGGACTGCACTCAGAGCCGGGCCCGGGCCCGGGCCCGAAGCTTCCAGATACTGAGAACGGGGCTGGGGGGCTGGTCGGTGCCAGCTGGCGCCCACCCCAGCAGCCACAAGCCAGCCGTGAGCTTGCTGCTCGGCACGAGGAAAGCGAAAAAGCGGCAGCGGGAGAGAGAGGGGAACCGCGTGCACGCCCTCCTGTCTAACCAGGCGGTCCCTGGAAACTGAGCTGCGGAAGGACGGCGCCAGCACGAGAGCAGCCAGGGCGCGGAGCAGAGTGGGCGAGGCACAGGCAGGTGCAGGGGGAGTCAGAGGGGGCCCGGGGGCGAGCGAGGCCCCGCCACTGTCACCGCCGGGCAGGAGGCCCTGCAGGGGCGGGGCTGGGGGCTCTGGAAGGCCAGACCCTGTGCTGAGACCCCTGGGACCGGCACACCTCCTGCCCCTTCCTAGGGAGCCTGCAGCCGCCTGGGGCTGCCACGTCTACTCTGGCCCTTGCGGGATATGGGCCAGCGTGGGCTGGGGGAGGGGAGCTTAACGAGGGCCACGGAGGCCACTGACCACAGGGCAAGGGCCGGCCGGAAGGGACCTCACGGCCTGCAGCCCAGGGGCCCAGGGCAGGCAGAGTCTCTGGGTCTCCCGGCCCCTCTTGGGGCCGGCCGTGGGCCTCGTCCCAGCAGCCCCGCTCCTCCTTCTGGGCCTCAGCCTAGCCTGACCCGGGCCCTTCCCCGGCTCGCTGGAAGGTTCCCTTGCCAAAGAGGAGAGGGCCAGATGCACCTCAGGCCCAGCCCTGCCACCAGGCCCGCCGCTGTCTTTGGGACTGGGGGGCGGGGGATGGGTGGGCAGGGTGTATACCTGTCTTCTTTGCTGAATTGGGGGTGGGCTTCAGCGATATCCAGGCTTTTACTGAACATTGCTTTACTACAGCGGGAACAAAGCGAGAAAACAGAGTTACTGATGCAGCCCCACCAGGCGGTCCAGGAGGCCAGACCTCCACACAGCTCCGAGCTGGGCACCACCCACCTGGCCCCAGGCCAGGGCGCACAGACGTGACGTGGGGGGCGGGGGGGGGTCAGGCAGGAGAGCACCAGGGCCACAGCACACCCGGCCCCGGTGACTTGCTTGGCAGGGTGGCCTGGCCGGGCCTTGGAGGATGCCTAGCACTGCCGCCAGCCCCGGGACCCCTCCAGCCCCAGCGGGTGTGGCCTGTTGTGGTAACGAGTGGCAAAGCCAGAGAGGAGGCAGAGCCTGAGAAGCAGCAGCGGGTGGGGAAGTGCCAGGGAAAGGACGGCTCACACCTGAGGCCACCCCACCACCCCTGGGCGCCCAGGCCTGGAAGGCAAAGCAGAAGCCGCGATGGGGGGGGGCCTCCCACGCCCAGCCCCTGCCCCTGCGCCTGCGCCTGCCCCAGGCAGCTGCGGGGTGCGGGGTGTGGGTGGCTGGCGCCGGGGGGCTGGCGAGCCTTCAAGCTGCCCTGTAGGTGTTGGACCGGAGGCCAGGACAAGGCTCGGGAAAGGTGGGCTGCGTAGAAGTGACCTCTCGCCTGGGCCGCTGGAGGGGGCCGCTTCCCTGGGGCCCCGCCGGGAGAGATGCACCCCCAGTGAGCAGGACACAAGGCACAATCAGGGCAGGACCACGGCCAGCAGGGACCTTCCCGCTGCTCGTCCCCCCCACCCAGTGCACAAGCCTGCGGCGGGTGGGCCACACGGCCCGGAGGCCTGGAAGGAAGCCCCGGAGGCCAGGAGCCCAGGTCAGAGGCTGAGCCAGCCTGCTTCCCCGGGGAGGGCCTGGCACCACCACGGGGCTGTGGCCTGTGAGCTGGGCAGCCAGTTGAATCCTGATGGTGGGGCCCAGTAGCCCTGCGGGTCCTCGGAGGCCTGGCCCAAGGGGCTGTCCCCAGATGGCTGAAGCCCCTGCCTGGGCAGGAAAGCTTGGTCTCACCCAGCCAGCCCCGAATCGGCAGAGGCTCTGCAGGACCTGGGTGCCCTTCCTTCCTCCAGGGGGCGCTCTGTTTGGACAACCCAGACCTGCTCCTCACCCACCGCCCTGCCCCCGAATTCCACGTCCCTGATCCCTGCACTGCCACAGGTGACCCAGACGTGGGCTCAGCATCAATCGGGGATAAGCCTGCTAGGCTGCAGCTCTGAACACAGCTTGATCTCTGAGCCGCCCGGCTCAGCCCACTTAAGTCCAGCTCAGCTAAGGTCAGCTTAGATCTGCTCAGTTTAACCCACTCCAGCCCAACCCAGCCCAGTCCTGTCCAGGACGGCCTGACCCAGCCCAGTTTAACCCAGGCCAACAAAGCAAAGCCCTGCCCAGCTCAGCCCAGCCCAGCCCAGTGTACTCCAGTCCAGCTCAGTTCAGCCAGTCCAGCCCAGCTCAGTCCAGCCCAGCCCGAATCTGCCCTGCCCAGGGCAGTCTAGCCCAGCTCAGCTCAATGCAGCCAGTGCAGCCCATGCAGTCCAGCCCTACCCAGTGGCCTCAGCCCAGCCCCAGGGCCAGGGGCGCAGAGAAGAGCCAGGCCAGGCCCAGCACAGCCTGTGAGGGGCCCCGTCGCTGACTGGGCCGGGGCACCAGGAGGCAGAGCGCTGGGCCCTCCTAGAAGGCACGCACCTCTGGCCGTGCTGGGCCATCTCGATGGCCCGCCGCGCAGGCACCGGGGAGCCGCCGTCCGTCACGCTCAGCACCTCCATGGACTTGCGCTCAGGCCGCCGCTTGCCGTGCCTGTTCAGCATTGGGTAGTCCATGCGCTT